AGCACCGCGTCGGCCCTGGCTATGGCCGCAAGTGCTGGGCAGCAAGAGGTGCGGGCAGGCCCTGCAGGTGTGGGGCAGCTTCAGGACACTGTCCCAGCACCCAGCACCCAGAGGGGACATACCAATTATTTAGATGATATTTTCTAAATGACTAAATCAATAAGTTTGCCTTCGGTGCCCAGCTGCTCTGGAGACTGAGACAAGAGGACCTACAAGTTCAAAGCCAGCCTCAGCAATAAGTTTGCCTTCGGTGCCTCCTCTCTACCCAGGGCCCCGAATACACCTGAGTGCCCACCATTGTACCTTGTCCTCCCAGGGGACGCCATGGAGAGAGGGAGTCACACTCTGACTGAAACACAAAGGTCCTGCTCTCTCCACTGATGCAGAGAGACATGAACGGAAGCTGGGGCAGCGGTTAGCGTGGGCCTAAACCAGGACGAAGGTCATGAGCAGATGTGAGGAGGGAGGAACCGGGACGTGGTGCCTGCCCAGGGTCCAGCCAGAGAAGAGAGTCCAGGAAGATTCCAAGGGCCGGCATCATGTCATCCAGGAGGGCCCTGAAGAAAGGTTAATCACTGGGGGCGTCTTAGCTTAGGTCTCCTGAACTTGAGACAAGGATTCAAACACAAATGGCTTATTCTGGAGGCAATCCCTGGAAATGCCAGCAGGAGAGCAGAGAAGTGGCACAGGAAAGTGGGACTTCAATGGCCACGTGAGCTGTCCCTCCTGCGGACAGCACTGAGCCTGGGGAAGACGAGAGTCACCTGTGAGCTACGGGAGCTGGGCCTTCAAATGCCAAGTCTAGCCAGAGGTTGGTGGAGGCCGCTCTGGCTAGGTCCGCTCCCCAGCACTTCCCGTCTGCTCCAGGGAAGCCGGGTGTGCCCCGTGCCAGAGACGGCCCTCAGGCAGAAGAGAGCAGGACTGCTGTTGGAAGCCGGGCCGGTGGCACAGAAGTGGCCAGGTCAGGCCATGGGCTGGGCCATGTCAGGGGCAGGAGAGCAGGAGCCAGTGTCCAGGGCAGACAGAGACAGAGCGGGTTTTTAGGTCACCCAGCTGTGTGGGGTGACTCCTGACCCCGCCGTGGGGGAAACGGGTCACTTAGTGGAATAGGACTGATTCTTCCAGATAGGCAGTGGGTGACAAGTCCCAGAGAGGACAGAAGACAGTCACAGCAGGAGCCAGACAACAGCCAAGTTCCTGATCTGGGTTAGACCTGGGTCTGCATTTTTCGCCTTTCCACCAGTCATTCTCAGAAGGGTTAAGGCCACCGCAAGGAGCAGCGGGAAGAGCATCACAGGTGCTGGCCGCCATGGTTCACCCCTGTAATCCCAGCTGCTCTGCAGACTGAGGCAGGAGGACCACAAGTTCAAAGCCAGCCTCAGCAATGGGCGAGACCCTAAGCAATTTAGTGAGACCCTGTCTCAAAATAAAATATAAGAAAAGAGTTGGGCCTCTCCTCGGCATATGCTAAAAGGACCTAAAAGCAGCATACTACAGTGACCAGCCACATCAATGTTCATAGCAGCTCAACTCACAATAGCCAAGCCGTGGAACCAGCCTAGGAGCCCTTCAATAGACGAATGGAGAAAGACAGTGTGGTATAAGAATGGTGTGTTTCTACATTGTGTACAATCAGAGAATTGAAATGTTGAGCTCCATTTGTGTGCGATGAATTGAAATGCCTTCTTCTGTCATGTACAACAAAGTAGATCTAATAAAAATAATAAATTTTAAAAAGAATGTGTTATATACACAAAAAAGACTATTACTCAGCTATAAAGAAGAATGGGATTATGGCATTTGCTGGTAAATGGATGAAACTGAAGACTATCATGCTAAGTGAAATAAACCAATCTCCCAAAACCAAAAACTGAAATTCCTCTCTGATAAGCAGATGCTAACTCACAATAAGGTAGGAATAGAAGTTTGCTGAATTAGACAAAGGGGGATGAAGGGAAGGGAGGGAGGGTGGGAATAGGAAAGACAGCAGAATGCGCTGGACATGACTTTCCTATGTTCATATATAACTACACACCAGAGAAACTCTACATCATGTGCAACCACAAGAATGGGAAGTTATGCTCCATGTATGCATGACGTGTCAAAATGCTCTCTACTGTCATGCATATCTAAACAGAAAAAATGAAATATCTCTTAAAAGGGGGCTGGGGACATGGCCCAATGGTTAAGTGTCCCTGGGTTCAATCCCTGGAACCAAAAGAAAGAAAGAAGAAGTAATTGTCCCACCGCTGTCCTGACTTCAGTAACCTCGTCACTCAAGGCCTGGCAAAGCTGGTCACCCTCCCCTGAAAACTTTCCTGGAGCAGTGGACTGAATCTCCCTGGGCCTGTTTTCACCAACAGGAAAACAGGCACTTTATTCAAGAAAGAATAAAGTGATTTGTGTCTGAAAGATCATTTGGGGCTGGGGTTGTGGCTCAGCAGAAGAACACTCGCCTAGCATGGATGAGGCCCTGGGTTCGATCCTCAGCACCACATAAAACAAATAAATAAAACAAAGATATTGTGTCCAACTACAATTAAAAAAAAAAAAAAGAAAGATCATTTGGTAGATTGAAGACCGGCTAGCCGGGGAGGTTAGAGCCATGGTACTACAAGGGAATACATCAGGGAGGGCGGAGTTTATTTTATTTTATTTTAGGTACTGGAGATTGAACCCAGGTGTGCTTTTACTCCAATCCTTTAAAAAAAATTTTTTTGGTATACCATTCCACTAAGTTGCTCAGGGCCTCACTAAGTTGCTGAGGCTGGCCTTTTACTTGCGATCCTCCTGCCTCAGCCTCCAGAGTCGCTGGGATTACAGGCGTGCACTATGGAGGGCTGGTTTTAAAGGGCATCCAGGGACAGTGCATGCACAGTGGTGCTGTCCACCACACCATCTGCAGGGGAACTGGGTGAGACAGACGTCCCTCTTCTGGGTACACCAGGCTGCCCACCGCCTAGGCCCCAGCAGTCACACTTGACTCCTGCACAAGTAACCTGGGGTCCTCTTTCCTGGACCTTTACTTGGGGAGAAGACCCAGTAACAGGATCTAGTACGTGTGCGGGTTCCACCAACCGAGCCCTCCTTAGGGATGAGCTGGTCTCCCCTTGAAGATTCTGAAGCTCCGGCTGTTTGGGGAGTGACTGTTCTGGGAGGGGTGTGTCTTCATCACTGAGCAGAGGGACAGGCTGCCAGCAGGCCCTGTCCCCAAGTGCTGAAGTAGCAATGCCAGTAGGAGGAAACTCCCTCCCACCGGCAAGCCCAGTCCACTGGCTCGGGAAAGGCTGGGCAGGACAGTGGTTAGGAGCCAGGTTGAGTCCCGGCAGAGCCACTTACTCACTGCAGAGTCCTAAGCAGGGTACACGACTTCTCTGTGGCCTGGTTGCCCGTCTCTAGAACAAGGGGTGGTAGGAGTTCTTTGTGGAGTCTTAAGGACAGTCACAGCTGATAGGACTCTGCCTGCTCCACTGATAAGACCTTCATACATGTTCTAACCACTCATTGCCCTCCTGGGTCAGAAGTATAAACAAAGACGACTCAACAGTCTCTTGGAAAATAAGCTGCTCCTAAAACTTCATTAAAAAAAAAAAAAATCTTAATAAATCCAGGTGTGGTGACGCACACCTGCAATCCCAGTGACTCTGGAGGCTGAAGCAGGAGGATCGCAAGCTTGAGGCCAGCCTCAGCAATTTAGTAAGGCCCTAAGCAACTTAGCAAGATCCTGTGTAAAAAAAAAAAAAAAAAAAAAAGTAGAAAGGGCTGGCTGAGTGGCAAAGCACCCCGGGGTTCAATCCCCAGTTTAAAACATAAAAATGTTAATTGACCTCATCAGACACCCCTAAGCTCTGGTGCACTCTGGGTTACAATGAGAAATAACATGAAGAGCCAGCCTCCTGGTTCCCTCTCACTCAAAGAAACCCGGATGAGCACGTGGGAAGGACCTGTGGGAGCGCAGGCAGGGCCCGGAGTGAGGGCGTCGGAGCGCACGGACCTGGCCGCCGCCTGGTTCCCACCAGCACCCCAGCACCAGCCCTTGGTGGCTGCAGGCTCTCAGGTAGGGTGCTTTGCTTTTTTCTGAGTCTCAGTTTTCTCACGAAGCAAATGGGCCTCATCCCGCAGCTGAGCTCAGACCATAAATGACGCAGGGTGTGGGAGGAGGACCCTGTGAAAGACACACAACGGGATTCTGCAGGCTGTCTCCTTGTCTCTCTCTGGGGTCAGAGGAAGTGAGATGGCAGCCACAGGGGAAGGGCACCCAAAGAGCTGGGCTTCTGGTCAGAACCTCGTTGACTTGTGACTTGGGGTCTTGTTTATTTGTTTGCACTGGGGATTGAACCCGAGGGTGCTTTACCACGGAGCCACATCCCCAGCCCCTTTTTATGTTTTCTTTTGCGACAGTGTGGCTTGGTGGCCAAGGCTGGCCTCAAACTTGAGATCCCCGCTTCTCAGCCTCCTGAGTCTCCGGGATGACAGGCGGGCTCTGTGGTGCCCAGCTGGTTAGGGGTTTTTGAAGGCTCCTTTCCTGGGTGGCATCAGGAAGCTGAGGTCTGGGGCAGGATGGAGCCTCACCCCACTGGGTGCAAGTGAGCAGCCTTCACCCCCCCCCTCCGCCTCCAGTCCCTGACACTTTGGTTAGAGCTTCTGGAAGGAGCCGTCATCAGGGAGACAGCTTTACTGGCTCGTGGGATTCCAGGCACCGAAGACCAGGGAGACAAAGGCGGTGACTCATGCCCCGCGGTCACCCCGCTCCCAGGAAGGGAGTATCCGCTCGGAAAAGCGGCTTCTGCAAAGTGTCTTGCATGGATGACGTGTGCACGGACATTTCAGAGCATTAACAACCCTGGAGGGAAAGCGAGCCCCACCGCCCGCTGGACCAGCCCTCAGGCTGCGCCTCCAACCCACCATTAGGACCCCCTGGGACCTGCAGAAAACGCAGGGTGCTGTGATTTTTGTTTTTTTCCCCAAACTCAGGATTGCTGTGAACACAGGGAGACAAATCCATTTCAAAAGAGGTACAATGTTGGCTTTATTTCACTGAGGAAATCTGTGCTCAGAGGTAAGAAACATAGAAAACAGCTAAATAAATAAATAAATAAATAAGTAGAATAAATAGCAGTCACTTCAAAGGGAGCCGTGGGGCTGGGGAACGAGCCCCCTGTGGAATCGGAAGCTGGTGTCCGCAGCAGGACTTCCTCCTAATGCCGCCTCAGCACTGTGGGGAGAAGACAGGGTGACCGTGACCTTGAGGGGAAATGGAGGCAGGAGCTGAGCTTCCCCCGCTCTGTGCCACCCCCACCCTCCGGTCCCTCCACTGATCTTGATGTTTGAGGCTTTGGAACAATCCTCCTCTCTGGGTCTCAGTTTCCTCCTCTGGAAAGTGGGGTGACCCTGGCGATCCTGTCCTCTGCCTTCAAGGCTCCACGCAATTCCAGAGAAGCCAGGGGATTCCTGGCTTAGGACCCTGCCTGCTCCCAGGAGGGGCTGCCAGGCAGTGAACAAACTCCACCCTCTGGAGAGTCCGCTCCCGTTTGGTCAGAGGCAGGGAGTGGCCAGGAGGAGGGTGGGGATTCATTGAGCACCTAATGAATGATGTCCCCATTTCACATTTCCAGAAAGGCACCCCTTGGCCCTGGACTGTCAGAGGAGATGCCCGGGTGTCCTAGACAACAAACCCACAGGGCCTCTAACGGTGGCCTGCACAGGGATGTGGGTGAGAGTGCAGCTGGCCAGCGGGGTGGCCAGGTGGGGTCTCACCATTGCAGCCCAGGCGGCTGTAGGAGCCAATCCGGTCCAATTTCCGTCCGAAGCAACCCGAGTCTCGCATTATCTTGGCGGTGCGAAGTCCCCGCAGAGCCTGGAGGACACTGTCTCTGGGCCCAGGGACACCCTTGGGGGCAGCCTTCGCAGTCTCCGAGGCTGCTGTGGGGCCTTGGTCCTGCTGGAGCGGCTCCAGGGTCGTCTGCTTTGCTGGTGGCTCTGACCCCTCGTCCTGCAGGTGACCCAGCAGCTCCTGTAGGTGGGGAGCCTGAGCTCAGGATCATGCGCCTCACCTGTCACTCATTCCCCAATGAAGGGCAGACCCTTGGGATGACGGGTGGGAGCCCCTTAAGTGCTGCTGCCAAGCCCTTCGGACAGCTCAGCCTCCAGCTCCTCAGCCTCACCTGTATCCGGGCGAGCTCCGCAGCCTGGCCAGGGCTGCCCAGCGGGTGGGGGCGACCTCCTGGCAGCAACAGGCTCAGGAAAAGCACAAGCAGACTTCCCCGGGACAGCACCATCTGGGGGTCCATGTCGCTTGGGTGGTGGGCTGGGGCTGCTGCTGCTTCCGTCCAAGTTCACGGCCACCTCTTCCAGGCCCACGGAGGCTCTCCTGGCCCCTCCAGCAACCGTGGCCTTTTATCCTGGCGTTGAGTGTCCGGCCAGCCCTTCCCCCCTGTGTGGGGGTTATCTCTGATTTATCAGCCACATTCCGGCCCTCTGAGCTCAGGACCTGGGAATGCTCTGCGCCTGTGAGGAATACTCACTGGGGGTGGAGGTGGGGAAGCAGGCCTTGTATAGAAATGGGCCGGGCCAGGGCGGGAGCGTGCGGGGGACAGCTTCTTCCTTCGCAAAAATCTGGGGCCTTGAACATGGCTCTCTCCCCTTCCCTCCCCACCCAGCCACTGCTGGAAGCGGCGGGGAGAACCCCAGCCTTCCAAGGCCCGCGGGAGCGTGGGGCGCACGGTGACTCAGAGAGGAGCCCCAGCCGACGCCCACCGCCGCCAGCAGCGTCTTCCTCCCGCAGTTCCCCGCGCCTGCAGCTGTAACCCAGCACCCGCCTGGGTCCTCACACCCGGCCATCGCCGGGGCCGCTGTCCGTGGTGCTGACCACCCACAGGGAACTCTGTGCGGACTCTCAAGATTGGCTCTCCAGCCAGATTCCCAGACCAGACAGACCTGTGCGGGGCGGGGTGCAGGACAGCTCTGACCCCTCTCCCGACTCACACCCCAACCCCGGGAGCCTTTCAGCACTGGGATGCGAATTCTCCAATGTCAACTGATTAAAAGCCTGAGTATGACAAGGAACTTCTGGAATGCCGACCCTTCTCCCACCCCTTAAAGGGTAGAGCTGATTCGGTTGGAATTTTGAGAGCACAGCCCAGAGATGAAGTCATGCAGGAATGCCTTCTATGACATCTCCTCCAGGTGCAAACGTCACCTCTGCCCCACCAAGACAATGCGTGATGGGAAAAGGCCGAGTGGAAAGATGGCTATCTATGTGGTGGGACATCCGAGGTGTGTCCCTTCCAGAGAATCTGTGTTAATAGGCGGGCGGGGGTGGGGTGTCTAGAATAGGAGACAGGATATGGCAGAGATGGGGGAGGGGACAGCAAGAAGCTGGGAACTGCTAGGCGTGGTGGTGCATGCCTGTAATCCCAGCAATGAAGGAGGCTGAGACGGGAGGATCACAAGTTCAAGGCCAGCCTCTGCAACTTAACAAGACCCTCAGCAGCTTAGTGAGACCAAGGATGAAAATAAAAAAGAGGACTAGGGATATAACTCAGTGGTAAAGTCCTTCTGGGTTAAATCTCCAGTACCCAAAACAACAACAACAAAACAACCCTGGGACCACTTAGCAAATTCCAGCATAATCACTTCTTTCTGAGTGTGGTGGTGCATGCCTGTAATTCCAACGACTTAGGAGGCTGAGACAGGAGGATTGCAAGTTCAAGGCCAGCCTCAAAAAGACCCTGTCTCAAAGTAAAAAACAAAAAGGGCTGGGGATGTGGTTCAGTGTTAAGTGCCCTTGGGTCCAATCCCTGGTACCAAAACAAAAACAAAAACAAACCAAAACAGCATCTTTTCAAGTACTGAGTGAGAAAAGTGTTCTTATTGGTCCTGATTTTTCAGATGAGAAAACAGAGCTCAGCTGAATTAAACTACTTTCCAAAGGTCACACAATCTGCACACAAGGCAGTCTGATTCCAGACCTGAAACTCTTACTTGCTGCTGGGATGCTTGCAAGATGTTTTTGCTCAAAGAAAATTTAGGTAAATCTATTGTCATCTATGAAGACTTGGGGACCTGTGCTGTGGGGAGCAAGAATCAGAAATACACCCAGAGAGTTGGTCCTTGCACCCGAGGGGACTGTGAGCTTGCCAAGGAGACGGAGAAGTCAAGTCCAGAGCGTCTCTGCCCATAGAGGAGGGGACAGGGATGACAGGACTGAGTGCATCCTCCAGGCTTCTCTCCAGGAAGAACAACGGGACACCAACCGGCTCGCACACCGGATCACGAACACACATTGAGCGCCTACTGTACACCATGCACTCTCCACATCTCTTCAACATGGCTGTTGGGAGTCGCCCCAGCTCCAAAGACTAACTTCCCCATCCCCCCAGAGAAGAGCCATCCAAAGGTAAGCCCTGCTGGCTCACATGATCCTTACCCACCAATCAGACTAGCCCTGCTGGCTCACATGATCCTTACCCACCAATCAGACTAGCCCTGCTGGCTCACATGATCCTTACCCACCAATCAGACTAGCCCTGCTGGCTCACATGACCTTTACCCACCAATCAGACTACCCTGCTGACTCACATGACCCTTACCCACCAATCAGACTAGCCCTGCTGACTCACATGACCCTTACCCACCAATCAGAAAGCACCCCGTGCCAACTGTCAAACCATTAAACCGTTAAACTGTCATAACTGTCAAACCATCCCCTGCTCTATAAATAAGCAGAGCTGTTCCTCAATAAACAGGCAAAGGCTCCACAAGGAGCCTTGTTCGTTCCTTCAATGGCTAATCCTGCGGTCTCTGTCGCAGCCTTCTGCACAGGGACTTTGTTAGATGGTGCCCATGGTAGGTGGAATGATATCCCCTCAGAGTGTCCTTATCCCGGAACCTGAGAAAATGCTGTTTTACATGGTGAAAAGGCCTCCACAGGTGTGGCTAGGTTAAGGACCTGGAGGTGAATTCTCATGGGTTATCCAGGAGGACTCAAGATGGCCACAAGGGCGCTCAGAAGACAGAGGCAGGAGGAGGAGGGTCAGAGAGAGAGAATGCACGGAGAGGCGAGGAGGTGGAGGAGGGGCTGCAGCCAAGAGGCAGAGTTGAGCCCTACTGTTTGCCCACCTTGATTTGGCCCAGTGAAGCAGATTGCAGACTCTGATCTCCAAAAAGAAAACAAAGTCACCTAAGCCAGCACACCTGTGGCATCTGTTTCAGCAGCCAGGAGAGTAACGCAGGACGTGTGACCCTGAGCATGGCGCTGGCCCCAGGGATGCCCCAGGAAAACCTGCAGTGGCAAAATTGGTTCTCACTAGGGCCAAACCCTATGTGCAAGGTGCTGGCCACAGAGACAGAAAGAAGACCCTTAATCCACCCAACAAACCTTCATCGCGAACCTGGGGCACAGGAGTCCAGAGCCTGACTCTGGAGCCGATTTCCTAGGTTCCTCCCGCCTCATCGTCCTCTTGCTCTCTGTGTGGTCTTGCTCTCTGTGTGGTCTTGCCAGGTCGCTGTCCCTCTGCCCTCTCACACCTGCTCACAGTGCTGTGGAGACAATGAGGCTTTGTTCCTGCAGGGAACTAGGACCAGACAGTCCCGCCTCTGAGGAGCTCCTGGTGCAGGGGAAAGGCAGGCGCCGGTGAGGTGAGGGACAGCGGGTGGCGCAGTCCTGGGTGCTCTGCAAGCACCCCAGGGCGGAGGTGGAGGAGGGAGCTTCCTGGAAAGGCTGGAGGGACCAGGAGTGGCCGTGAGAGCCAGGGTGGGAGAGCTCTGGGCCCAGCAGTCAGCGAAAGCGAAAGCCAAGGGCTGGTTCATGGGTCCCCTGCCTCCAAGGCTTTGGACAGGAGGAGGGGGGTGCAGGGAAGGAGAGGCCCGATGGCCAGGGAGCGTGGTCCCCTCTTCAGGGATTTTCTGTAGCTTCCCAATCTCCATCCCAGTCATGAGTAGCCATAGCCGGTGGCATGAGAGCCCCAGGCACCTGGGGACAGGCAAGGGAAAACGAGAGGACCACTGAGCAGGCAGGGCAGAGGCGGGCACGTTTCTGGCCACTGAACAAGGCTCTCTGCAAGGTGCAGCTCTGCCTGGGCCTCTGTCTCCCCTGGTAAAAGGAAGGAGTTAGGCTGGGACTTCCCTCAAGCACAAAACCCGAACTGTGTACGTCAGTGTCCCTACTTCATGGTCACATCTGCTTGCCAGCTCCCACCCCACAGAGGTACGTCCTTCTTCCAGGACCCTCAGGCCTTCCCCAAGGCCAGAAACCACCTTCAGAGGGGCTTCCAGATCCTTCAGAAGTGTGGCAGAATGCAGAGGGGTGTGTGTGTGTGTGTGTGTGTGTGTGTGAGAGAGAGACAGAGACAATGTCAGAGACAAAGAGAGAGTGTTGGGGGTGGTTTGGAAACCAGCTGATGTAGAGTCCTTCCCTGGCCTTGAGGGATCCTCCAGACTGTGGCTGTAAGGGAAGAGCCAGCGTGGCAACATGGGGAAAGCAGCTATTAACTGCCACCACCCCCCGCTGCCGTGCCCAGCCTCACCAACAGAGTCAGGGCATCTGAGGGTCCTAGTGTAGTGCAGGGAATGCTCCTTTCTCCCTCTCTCCCCATATTGTCCCTGTAGCTAACATTCTGGTGACATCCTGCAGGCCCTGGATCCAGCAGTGCCTGAACTCAATCCACCTTGGACTTTTCAGTATGTGAGCCAACAAATATGCCTTTCCCTGTTTGCCTAAACCAGCTCAGATTAGATTTTTGTCACTTCCATCTCCAAATTCTTTTTTTAAATAATTATTTTTTTAGTTTTCGGTGGACACATCTTTATTTTGTTTTTAAGAGGTGCTGAGGATCGAACCCAGTGCCTTGCGCATGCCAGGTGAGCCACATCCCCAGCCCCCATTTCCAGATTCTTAACTGACATAGTCACCAAAAGAAACTGCCTGCCTTCGTTCTTAGAGAGCCTTCTTGAGAGCAAGACACCATACCCTTGGTGAAGCTCGAGGCTCAGAGCTTTGCAGACAAATGTTCTGATCATCATCTGATGAATTCTCTCCTCTCGCCATGTGAGTCAATCCCCTGTGGTCAAACAAAAGGTGGAAAAGCGAGGTAGGACCTGCACTTTCAGAGGAAATTGGAAGCCTGTTTAGTTTTCCAGGCTTTATTTTTGTTGGGCTTTGTTTTGTCTTTGTTTTTTGATTTTGGGGGTTTTCCCCTAATCTAAATAGTGGGCATGAATCAGCAGATGGGAGGAATCAGGGGGCAGAGCGACAGCTACACCCGACACACCTGGCTCTGTCCTGGCATGGTGGGGACAGCTGCAGGAACTAGAGAGTTCTGTTCCCCGCCTTCTCCCCAGGGCTTCTTGGCCTCACCCTGGAAAATGCACCCCTTGGTCCCTCTCTGTTACAGCTGGGAAAACAGGCCAGGAGAGACGAAGGTCTCTGTCCAGGATCACCCAGGGCAGCTGTGTCATCTACACAGCCCAGGCCACGCAAAGCACACACTACCCGACATTTCAGGCACGCTCCCCGGGCCGAAGGCTTTCCAGATGCCAGTCATGGTTTATTCTGAAACACTTTTCGATTTGTAGAAATCTTGCCAGGATAATCCAGAGGACTCCCATGTGCTCCTTACCCAGATAAACGTTTTAAAATATTTTGCCACCTTTATTTTTCTCTCTTGGATTAGGCAAGATATGGCACCTGAAACCCAAGCAACTTCAGGAGTAAAAAAAAAAAAACAGATAAATCAGACTACAGCAAAATTAATTTTTTTTTTTTTTTGCATCAAAGGACACCATCAAAAAATGAAAAGAGGGAACTGGGATTGTGGCTCAGTGTTTACCACTTGCCTACCATGTATGAGACACTGGGTTTGATTCTCAGCACCACATATAAATAAATAAATAAATAAATAAAGGTACATTTAAAAAAATGAAAACAGGCCTGGGGTTGCAGCTCAGTGGCAGAGCACTTGTCGAGCCTGTATGAGGCATGGGGTTCGTTTCTCAGCACCACGTATAAATAAATGAAATAAAGGTCCACTGACAACTGAAAGTATATATACATTTTAAAAAATGAAAAGGCATCCCACATTTGAAAACATATGCAAGCTTTGTCTTTTGTAAGGCTCCAGAATAGACAAGAACTCTTACCACCAGGAGCAACCGTGGGTGCAGACTTGTAATCCCAGCTACTGGGGAGTCTGAGGCAGAAGGATGGCAAATTCGAGGCCAGCCTCCAAAACATAACAAGGCCCTGTCCCAAAATAAAAAATAAACAGGACTGAGGATATAGCTCAAGGACAAAGTGCCCCTGGGTTCAATCCCCAGGACTAAGAAAAAAGAAAAAATATATATAAAGTGTTGACTATTGAATTTTTCCCTATGTTTTCCCAATCCTGCTTGCTTAAGCTCACCTACTGGTCCAGGTGGAATTCAGAATGTTCCCCA